TACTACCGACCTTGAGTAGAAGTAAACACTTTTATGCCTAGTGTAATAAAAGTTTTACGCTAAATTCAAAGTACAGTACAAAGCATGACGTCTTGCGAAACTATGAGGAAGGTCTGGCGACTCTCCAAAATGCACATACGTACGAATTTGCTGAAAACTGCTTAAATCACAGGCAATACATCAAATGTGATCACACATAAACTCTGTCTTCAGAATGGATACGTTCTAGATATCTTATTCTGGTAGATGGTATTCCAGAGTTATGGAAGATATAAGGGGAAACTACTCAAGCATCCAGTGTAAAATGTTGAAGATTTGTATAAAGTCAAGTGATCATTACTCTGTGTCAAGTGAGAGATATAAATTCAGCACGGTTTAGATGTAACATGCTTTTATAGTAACGGGTTGCAGGAATGTGGACGAAAGTATATCTCTAAGGGCTACCATAGACACGCATGGTATTCGTCCTTTTTACTTGTAATTTTTTGGTCATCGTGCAAAATGCTGGTGTGTGTAGGGTAGTATCAAATCGCCCATCTTCCGACAATAGTTTGAATCAAACCAACCGAAGGTCAATTTTTTGTGTTACCAGCTTGTTTGTATAAAACACGGCAACTTCTTTATTTCTACAAGTCATTGCGCATTTGTTTCTTATGCTACGTACATGCCTTAATGTAGCGTAAGATTAACGTTGGGCCCAATGCGTAGTCCTTCATTGAGACTTCTTTATTGAAAGGACTCATTTCCATATCACTAGAGAGTGATGGGAGTCTTGCTAAATAAGGCGACCCTTTTCAATTTGACGTTTGCTTGCCATTTCTGATTATTTGTCGATCATCAATAAGAGTGTTGATGCGGAATATGTCTTCTATCGACAAGAATCAGAGATGGTATGAATCAGTGTTCCTTGAAAAAAAGTATGAAATAATGACGAATTGTCAGGAGTCACAAAGATGTGAGATAACTTTTTCATAAGTCTAGGAGGAATGGTCCATATCTGTCATATGCGGGTGAAGCAATTGGTGGCTTCAGACCTGGAAGGTCGACAAACAATTGCGAAGCTGGACGTTCACAGGAAATTAAAAGCCAGGAATGTGTGCAAATAACTCCCCTGCGCAAGCTAGGATAAGAGATAAAACAAAAGTGCTTTCGCGTAAGCTCGACGGGTGAGATCCACTATCTCCGTTTTTAATTAACCTAACATTATGATATCTACATTACAGTGGACCTCCGGTAATCCGACAAATATTATGCAGGGCAATGTCGGACTATCGAATTTGCCGGATTATAGAGCATTGCCTAAGACCCCCTATGGTCCGGAATTTTTTACAAAAGAGTACCTTGTAATCCAACAAATTACATATCCAATGGTAAGATTATATATGTTATGTATATGTATATACTTTGAAGTACAAATCATACATAGTTTATGTATGTCGAATTTAGTAAATTGAATAACAATAGAGAACTTACGTTTTATTATAAAATTAAGCATAAATGCATACATACATATGTACTACAATAATCAAGAATTACTAATCAAAATCATTAATGAATTTATCAAATTATGAAGCTTGGAAATATTCATCATTTTTTTTGTTTAAGGTTGTTATAACGCGAGATCAGAACTTTGTCCCTCAGTCTTCTCAAAAGTAAAAGTTCGTTGTATGATGTACCATTCTCTTCATCCCATTGTAAATCTAGCTCAAAGGCGTTAATTGCGGCTTGTGCTGTGACTTGTGGAGCAGTTGCAATCACGTCGTCGTTATTTTCCTGATTGTTTGTTGTATAATTAGAAACCTCTTTTATAATCTCTTCGTCGACGTTTCACGAAAAACATTTTCCTCTTTATCTATTCTACGGCACCAGATTTCCAAATCTTCCGGACTTATCTGTGTTTCAGTAGCGACTTGTTCTATAACTTCCGAAGTAACACTGATTTGTGGAACGTTGCTAGGAGTGGTGACTATATCTGGACATAACTTTTTCCAAGACGAATTAATAGTTGATGACGATTCCACGACTGACAAAGAGCAAAAACCAAGTCTTTCATATTAAATTCTTTGAAAGTTTTTTCTATTGGTTGGTCTTTTGATACGGTTCTCAGAAATAGGTTTTTCTTATAGTCTTGCTTGACAAACTGAATGATATTCTGGTCCATTGGTTGAATCAGTGCAGTGCAAGTTGGCGGAAGAAACATCGCAGTGATGCATTTATCCTCAGTTGTTAGTTCTTCTTCAGACGGATGGCCGGGAGCGTTATCAAGAAGCAACAACGCTTTTTGAGGAAAATTATGATCTCTTAACCATTTTCTAACTTCAGGTACGACGCATTCATCAAACCACTTTTTGAAAAGGTCTTTTGTCATCCATGCACTTTTTTTTGTCCGTAATAGTGTATAGGTAAATCAATGTTTTTGAATACCCGTGATTTATTAGATTTCCCAATGACCATCATCTTAAGCGCGTGTGTGCCCGCAGCGTTAGCACATGGTAGTATGGTTACACGCTTTTTACTTACTTTTCGTCCAGGTACGGATTTTTCGTTACAAGAAACGAAAGTTTTGTTAGGAATCACACGCCAAAAAAGTCCTAATTCGTCTGCATTGTACACCTATGACGAGTCAAGATTTGAATCGTTCATCTTTTGCAGAAATCTTAATTTAAAGGGCTCTATGCATGACGACTTTTAAAACGTTCTAGCCATTCTTTGCTGGCCACAAAATCATCCTTTTTTGTTATTTCCTTATAAAAAACTTAGCTTTCATGGCCAACATGGGTCCTGAAATTGGTGCATGCCTATTTCTTTCCTGAAGAAACCACATGTACAAAGCTTCTTCCACTTCTGGATGTTCAGCTTCCTTGAGTGTCTGTCTCTTGCCTAGCCCGCATTTAGTTGTTCACACGAACTTTTTGATCTTCTCGTGGTTTCTTTTAATGTCATAAATTGTAGATCGGCCTACGCCGTATTCACTTGCTAAACGACTGAAAGTTTCATTGCGATTTAATTGTCAATGTCTTGTGCTTTCGCTTCTGAGTTTGTGATGACATTACTAGGTACTATACTTAATACACAATGAATAAATCGTAATCAATGAACGCACGCTAGGCCGTACCGCTATCACCAGTAGTCAAATTCAAACTAAGTAAAACAATGCTTACGCGTCGAGCACGATAGCGGTGACGCGTACAAGTTGTAACCTGTTCACACCTGCGTGATCTACATTAGCGAAGATTGTCAAATACGTATGTATGTGATACATATTCAAAGACATGTCGGATTACAGGGGGCGCCGGATTAGACCGTGGCCGGATTATCGGGGGTCCACTGTATTAACGAAAATTTTACCCGCCAATCAAACCAGATACGAGGTCTGTAAATTAGGTAATGAGACTGGCAACGTGGCATTCGATCTGGAAACATTGGAGACGCCGGGCTAGGAGAGGAGACAGGAAAACATGTGATCCGCCTTCAGTACAAGTTTGAACTCGCTCGAGTCACTTGGATGTCCGTAGCGATTTTTAGTCAAGAACAAAAACTTGTGTTCCTGTTATCTTAGCAAGTCATGGTGAGTACCTGCTATATTCTATTTTTATTTCCCTTTTGGCTGCTGCCATCTCAGGCGTAGTTATTCCTGAAAACGAAACTTCCAACTTTCAGTACACCATGTATAAGTTCGACAATAATAGTCTCAATTTCTTAGTTGAATCCCAGTAGAAAAAAAAAACGCAGAGTGCAGATCCTAACGTCCGGACTATAGGTGACGACGAGCGCAGAATTCCAAATAAAAAGCTTCTCCAACATTGCGTTCTTCGGCAGTCTGAACAGAAAAAGGATCACAACGTAAAATTCGGATATTGCATTTCTTTGGCAATGCTCGTTTTTTTTTCAGTGAGGAGAGGGAATTATAAAATTGGCTATCGATTTGGGATTCTGATTCAGACGAGTCATTCATAGAACCTTTTCCAGGCTCTGACAGTGATTCATATCAACCATCGGATTCTTTAGAAACCGACTCGGACGATGATATTGGTGACTTATCGAGAGCAAGTAAAAGGAAACAAAGGTTACGGATTCCATCACGTAATGGAGCCAGCACGAGTCGTGCACCTGAATCTGTAACCCAAACTAACCAAAACGAACCTGAAGCTGAAAGTTTGGGGAAGTCTGCTTCATCGGAAATGCCGGCGCCGGTGCCTACTGTTTCAACATGTGGTGAGGGATGGGGGCCAATCGCAAGAATTTACAAAGCCATTCCAACCTATACCCAGTCATCTGGAATAAAACCAGAAGTTGCCGCTTTACTAGCAAATGCAAGTCCAGGACAATTCTATGAAGCTGTTGTAGACGATTCGATTTTCTCATATATTGCGGATGAAACAAATCATTATTCTAGTTGTCTCTTACTTGAAACGGATGCAAGTGACAATTCCCGCTACCATAATTGGGTACCAACAAATAAAACAGAAATCAGACATTTCTTAGGGCTAGTTGCCTGGATGGGAATGGTCAAAGCACCTACATTGGCTGATTACTGGTCAACGGATCCATTATTCAACTTTAGTTTTCCTCGTTCTGTATTCAGCCGTAATCGATTTGAAATTTTACTTCGAACAATTCATTTTGCAGACAACAATCAAGCTATCGCTGGTGATAAGCTTGCTAAAATAAAACCTTTGCTAGACAAACTCCTGAAGAATTATAAAGATCTTTATACTCCTGAAGAATAAGTATGTGTTGATGAGACTATGTTGCCTTATAGAGGAAGATTGTCTATAAAACAATACATAAAATCGAAAAGACACAAGTATGGTATCAAATTATTTAAGTTGTGTTCAGGAACAGGATACACACATAATATCAAAATTTACGCAGGCAAAGAAAATGGCGAACGAATAACTCCAGAAGGTATTGTAACATTTCTTACCCAAGATATTATAGGTCTCGGCAGAACCTTAGTAACAGACAATTGGTATACGAGTTTACCTTTAGCTAAAAGGATGCTTGATTCTAATACACACCTCATTGACACGATACGCAAAAACCGCAAGGGGCTACCAAAGGAAGTTGTAGACAAAAAACTTAAAAAAGGAGAAGTTGCGGCCATGGAGAACAAAGATGGGATAACATTACTGAAGTGGAAAGACCAAAGGGATGTGCTTGTACTGTCTACAAAGCATGATGCTGAAATGGTAGAGAGAAGTAACAACAGAATACCTAAAGTCGTCATCGATTACAATAGCGGAAAAAGTTCTGTGGATCTCTCTGATCAAATGGGATCGTATTCTAATCCTCTTCGAAGATCTGTCAAATGGTATCGCAAAATCGCATTTGAGCTTTTGCTTACAACTTCCATGGTAAATGCTTTTATATTATATAAGAATGTTACCGGATGTAATATCAAGATTACGCAGTTTAAAAAGGAAGTCATAAGATATCTTATAAATACTGCTAACAACGAGAACATTGACCATGAACTACCGGCAAAAAGACGACGACACCATTCTCTAAAACAAAAAGATGGCGCAAATAAGCATAAAACAAGAAGATGTTGTAAGCATTGTTATAAAAAAATAACGAGCTTCATGGTAGGAAATATGCTACCAATCGTACACTCAAAGTAGACACCTACTGCGAGGATTGCGAGGGAAAGCCATTTTTATGTTTGAATTGTTTCAATGAAATACATCAAGGGTAGTCAGACTTAGTTAAATATTTGTCCAGTTTTTATATTTCACTTATTGTATACAATGTAAGTTACTTTAGTTTAAAATACATACTTTGCTAATATTGATTCGTAGTATTTTCTAATGGGACCACAAAACTAAAAAAAATTAAAATTAAAAAACCATGCTTATAGATATCTTCTATGAGGCCGTGCTGGTCCCCTAAACAACATTATAACATTATAAAACCGGCCAGCGGCTCCATACCCAAGTGAAAGTCTGCTGGTCTCATAGGACCAGCGCGGCTCGAGGCAAGTCATTAAAGCTGGTCCCATGGGACCAGCGTGGAAGTCAACGTGTTAAATAACAAGTGAAAAAATTTTCAGCCTTATCAGTTGGACATTCCGGTTTTTATACTGCTTTTTTTTTAATTCACTAACGCTCTAAAAATGAATATTTCAGCCGCAGTAAAGAATCAACGTTGGCGAATTTTGGTTCTTGACATCCTTTACGATCGGTTACGATGCCTAGAGTACGGAGACCTGTACGATTTCGTCAACTTAGTGAGTTTGATAGGGGCCGTATAGTGGGACTTCGGGAAGCTGGACTTTCTTTTCGGGCAATTGCAGTTAGAGTGCAAAGAAGTGTAGGCACTGTGGTTAGGTGTTGTCAGGCATGGCTTTGAGAAGGCCGTACGCAAAGAGCAAGGGGCACTGGACGCCGCCGTAGAACAACAGACCGTCAAGATCGCCGCCTAAGATTATTGGCCTTAAGGGACCGTTTCTCCACTACCAGGTCCATAGCAAATGAATGGTTTGCAGAACACGGAAGACCTATTGGCATGCGAAGTGTCTACCGACGAATGAGAAGTTTTGGCTTGTTTTCATACCGGCCACACTGGGTCCTCCCTTTAACTCGAGAACACCGACGTAATCGCCTTGAGTGGTGCAGACAACCGTCACTCTGGGATCAGGAATGGAACAGTATTGTCTTTAGTGACGAGTCTCGATTTTGTTTAGGCATGCACGATGGTCGTGCCAGGGTTAGAAGGCGACGTGGTGAAAGGAGGAATCCGCAGTTTTTTGTTGAAAGACATGTTCATCACACTGTTGGAGTTATGGTTTGGGGTGCTATAGCTTATGGTTCCAGGTCACCTTTAATCTTCATCAGAGGTAACATGAACGCGCAGCGTTATATCCACGAAGTTCTAGAACCCCATCTTTTACCCTATCTTGACACCCTGGCAGATCCAACTTTCCAACAAGATAATGCCCGACCACATGTTGCAAGAGTCACAATAGACTTCTTTCAACATAATGATGTCACATTGTTACCATGGCCACCAAGATCTCCCGACTTATCCCCAATTGAGCACGTGTGGGATATGATGGGTAGCAGATTGCTCAATTTGCAACCTCCTCCTCAGACTCTAGAAGCACTTCGAGAAGAGTTGGTGGTTGCCTGGAATGAGATACCACAGGAGGACATTGACCACCTGATCAGAAGCATGCCTAGGCGCGTTGGAGAATGCGTAGCACATCAGGGTGCATCCACACATTATTAAAGGTCAAAGGGCTTTAAAGCAGTGCAATCATTTTGAAATATTTATCATTTACTTATTATGCTTCATTAAGTACTTATACAAAATTTTATTAAAATAAAACCATTTAAACTGGGTGTTCGGATTTATATGTCACTTAGTATATATACCGAGCGCAGTGAGCAAACAGTTAGTATTACAACAAGAGTATATAAATTAGAAATGATGCAGCGTCAGAAGCCACCTGTAACTTATGATGTTCACGAAAATAAAACTTATTATAAGTTATAAATACACTTTAATCAGTAAAACTATTTATTATAATACTCAAGTTTCTTCTTATTTGTTGACCTAGTTGGCGGAGAGGAAGTTCGTCATTCTCATGATTTCCTTCATTTTCATCTAGGTCTTGTTCAACTAACTCAAAGTCAGGATCGTCCAAGCTCTGCGCAACATCATGGAGTACAATACAAGCAATAATTATTTTCGGCATATTTTCCAACTTTACGCGGCAAACATACTGTAGGATAGAAAACCGGCATTTCAGTTGGCCGAAACAGCATTCAATTATAACTCTTTCTTGTTTTAAAAGCTTATTGTAATTTATTTCTGCACCTGGAGTAGGATTTCTGAAGGGAGTCATAAGGCATGGCTCAATACCATAACCGTCATCGCCAAGTAATACAACATTTGGTTTATTTATTAGTTGTGATCTAGTCTGTGAATTTCTTCATATTCTGGAATCATGCACTGATCCAAGCCAACTGATATCAACACTTTTGAACATCTCTCTGGCATCACAAGTGGCTTGCACATTTAAAGTAGGTTTCCCTTTTCGGTTGATATACTCATCTCCATGGCGTTTTGTTTTCAGGATTCTTATATGTGTACAATCAATTACACCAATCGCTGTCGGAAATGCTCGTATCCATTTGTTCGACTGTGCAACTATGCTGTTCACAGCTCTATCCACAGTCCGAGATACCGTTGCTTGACTAACACCAAGTTCCTGACCAATACCTTATTGACATCCAGCGTCACCGAGATAGCGTAGACATATCGTCATTTTATGAATACATGAAAGTGCTCCTCCTCATTCTCAACTAAAAATCTGTTCGCAAGCCATTGTACATTTGCTTCGTCGAACCGATATAATTTTTTGAAGTCACGACAAGTGAAGGTAAACGAGGTTTGTACTTTTTAACATCCCTAACAACCACAATTTCCGCCATCATCGTTTGACCACCTTTCGTTACGAAGTTGAGTCTGCTACTGACCACACTCAGAATTTTTGAAGGATATGCTTCCTATACCAAGTATAAGGTGAAGATTATGAATATCCTTTCACTTATGTCACTGCTTTGAAGGATATGCTTATACTCGAAAAGCAAAAGCATTTACTTCAAATTATTATAAATACCATCTGGAGGATTTCGTTCAAAAGTTGCAAGTACAAGGATATCCTTTATTTTATGAATATGGCTCGATAACTATCACTTCATGTCAAGCCATTAGAAATCTAGGGTAGCCAAAGTACTGTTGCTAGCTTATCCCGAAACTTCCCGAAATGAAAGTTTCGTTCGACAGAGATATGCTTAGACCAAGTTCTCTTCTTGTGCGATTGTTTATTCGTCAGTGATACTACCAACTTGTAAACTGATGCCCTCTGAATTATCCGTTTCGAAAGTTTAGCGATAGCCATAGAGTCCATTCCCTCACAATAGTCGAAAAGGATCGTCCCCCATATTATGTAAGTCTATTTCAGAGATACTTCCGTTCCCCTTATCGCTCTATCTTTACATCCACGTCCCTTCCGGTACTTAATTTTATCGTTTGGTCAGTTTGCTTCGTGGATACTCCAGGCTTTTGCTTAAGGCTTGCAACAAAATTAAAGATAAAACACTGGTTTGTGGAAATTAAGTCAAGTCCTTAAAATGTATCTTAAATACCTTTTGTCTCTGCCTTTTTGACTCTTTAAAATAGTAGTTTAAAAAACAAAAAATCACGCATGAATAGCTAACCGAACTAAAAAGTAGAAAATAATTTTTAACTACAAAGACTTTATAGTACCGTAGACGAACAATCAATCACAATTAATGACCTCAAAGTGAAATAAGAATAAAAAAGTTATTAACATAATAATTAATTCAGAGTAAAAAGCATGGGGTGTGTAATATATTTAGGCCCAATTTCACCAACATTAATATTTGACGGTCCCTTGGACCAATGGGAAAATAGCTTATCGAAATGCAATTTGACAGAAGCTGTCAAAGGTCTCTGAATATCAGTGATTTCTATTGAAATGTTGAATAAAGTCGTGAAAAAATGGTTGCCTTACAAATAAGGGTACATTATAGATGTAATACCATGTCTTTGTGCTTTAGAATTAGGATAACTGTCACAGAATTTCCAGTTTCACAAAAAAAGGTCAGTTATGTAAATGGACCAACCAAAATGATATAATAATAATAGGCCGATTTTCTAGCTATTATATTTGCTACGATGCTTGCACTGTTTTTGACGTCTGTTCATGCATGGCAATCTAGTTTTGTCTGTATATCACGTAAAGGGTGTTGTACAAAATACGTACCTGTAGAAATGTACGGATTTTTGTTATTTTGCAAAAAAAAGGATATAAGACGTATTCTAACTGGTTCATCATCTTTTGTTACATCAAAAACAAGTCTTGCCAATTTATGATCCAGAAATCCACACCAAATGTCAGCAAATAGCACATTCTGCATTTCTGGGTCCTAAAATATCGATATTTGTAAAAGTATCCGCATCCACATATTATTCATCGTCTATATATTATAAGTCAGAATCAAAAATACCTATTTATGAAAACATGTCTCCAAACATTGTTTTATTTTATTATTTCTATTATTATAACACGTCTGCGATATCAATTGCTTTTAATTAAAGTGATCTACACATCTGCAGTGTTGCCGAACCGACAAATAAACGGAATCGGTAAATAGTGCCGTTGAATTCGGTATAAGGAAAATGCCGTCCCTAGATCAGTGGTAGATCAAGGACCTTTGAGAAATGAAAAACGTCTGTTATTATATTGGGCGCGCACACAATATGTTTTTTGAGGGCATAGTTCTATACTACAACTTCTACAATGTGCATACTGGTCGTCCTTTTTCGATTCTTGCTTATAGTATTGTATATATTTTTCTGTTTTACCCTTGAACCCATGAACTCACCTCTCATTTTAATTTACAAACATGCAGGTTTCGGTTTCTTTATTGCTTATCCGGTGATGAGGTAATGACGGTAATCTACCAGTCTGTACCTTTTGTTTGCACAAAAATCAATTCAGAGCAATCGGGGAAGGGATAAGGATGTGCGTTCGTAATCATAGACAACCCAAAGCTACGCCTCTCATGTGTCCGACTACCTGAGTGTGTATGCATATGTATTACTGATATGGGGCATAGAACTGTGAAGACTACATAAAATTAACTTTTAGTTTTATTTTTGGTTTCAGCTCTTTTTCGGAAAGTATAGAAATATTTAAATTATTTTGAAAAATCGTGGAGATTGACGTTATCGGTAAATATCCTCTTTTCGGTAAAAATACCGAAAAATCCGGTCAAAGTCCATGCATAGACAATCTGAAATTTGCAGTATGAATTTATATTCTAAATTCTATGCATAACCGTTCATATTCGTCAATATTTCATTTGAAGCTTTTATCTTATGGACGGTCGAAGCCCAACTCATGATTAATGGCAACATTCGCAATGAACAAGGTGAGAATGCACTATCTTGGAAAACTATCTGCTACCGTTGTGCTGTGCCCAGTGCCCGAATCAACAAAGAGTAAGTCCGAAACTGCACACATGCGCAGACCGCGCGATAGCTCTATCTCTCTTATTCCCCTACAGAGGATCTAAAAAAGAATTTATCAATTCTTGCGGTCCTAATAAGGATAATGGAAAACTGTTATCAAATTATTGTAACATCATCGGTCCTTGATACGTGTGCGGAGCTTCGAATTAATCAAACTTCTGGAAATTGGTGAAAAGTATGCTCAAAGATTACATATATACGTACAAGCTAATACAGGAGTGTTAAAATGGACTAAGGCATAGGCCCAATTGTAGTATGAGACTGAAAAGTACATGGTGGCAAATCTCTATAAAATAAAATATTTTAAGTCATTCTTAATAAGACGTTAGGAATTATGTATGAAATATAAATAACCACCTCTGGTAGCGCATAAACATGGTTCTACTTGTTTACAGTCTGGCATAGATACTCATGCTACTCGTACATATTGCATGTCGACTCAAGAATGTACGAATTGCTAGTAGCAAAAGTGTCTTTGTCAGCGTTATGGTAGGTGTCCATTTACATACACGTCTGAGAGTAACTCTGGGAGATCAACCGGTTTTCTATCGGATAGCAGCTGCACAGAATTCTCCTCTCAAGTGTAAACTTGTTATTACGTTTTCTATTCAATTTTGATTGGTTTCGTGAGGAGTATTTCGAAACTTCTTGAGTATTGGTCTTAGACGCTCTCTAGTCCTAAGTGTGTTAGCCTAAACCTTACTTTTACAAGCTTTTTCTTAACCCGGTTTGTTAGTATGTATGTTATTTCAGCACGAATGCCGCAAGGTTCTGTATTGGGACCATTGCTTTTAACACTGTACACTAGTTCAGTCAATCTATCAAGCTTATTAAAACCAGCTCAGCACATACATATGTATACGGGTGACATGCATATATTATTTCTTGGTGACTGTCTGGAAAACAGTGGATATCCAAATTTATCAAGATTTTGTTACTCTGGCAGATATTTCTGCAAAGCATCCACTCCTATTAAATCCTTGTCTATGACTATGGTATTTGCTCTGATCGGCAGTTTATGGAATCAAACAAAATAGATGTAAATAACACCGACATTGGAATTACAGGTAAGGTAAAGAATCTGGAGCTTACTCATTGATCAGGATCTGCGGTTTAGGGATCACGTAAGAAATGCATACAGAGAGCATACGCATCGCTAAAACCACTTTATCCCCATAGATAATATTTATCAACAGACACTTAAGAAATGTTGTGCGATACTCTAGTACCTTCACAGTTTATCTACTGAGCACCTGTATTTGGTCCATGTCTAAATCAAAACAGCGTCAATCGTTTTGCGCTTATATGCTTTATGCTTATTTCGCAAAATAAGAACCCCCTATCTCTACCAAAAAGTGTCATTTTAGCAGCTGTCCATAATGCTAACACGAAACATAAGCATCTATTCAGTATCTCACAGGACATTCCTTTATGAAAGAAGCTTCAAATTTACAATTGTTATATATTATTACCTTATTATCTCAAATCATTCAATACACATAAATTTAAGAAACTAGTTTTAAATAACTTAATTAAATTATTAAAAATTACACGTTTAATTTAGGGGACCCTATGTATGTATTTGGTTAATTTTAGGATCGGCTATTTTTTACACGTACTTCTACTACTGGAAGGGCTGAATGGAAGAACACCTCTACGTAAACTCCCCCATGAGGTTTTTCCAATAAGATTATATTCTTTCTCATGTATGTTTGCGAAATGTATAGAATTATAGTACAGAAAGCCAAACCAGTAATTTGGCATAAATTTTAAAAAGTAAGAAATAAAATGAAAAATACATTTTTAAAAACAAGCTTTTATTTAGCCGGTAATAAAGTGAACTAAAGAATTAAAGACATTTTTTACCTATTGGAAATATTTAAACGATAACGTTTTGTCAGAAGGATGGAAAAAGGGTGTAACACGTTTTTATATGAAAACTTGAGATAAGGGAGCTTTGATTATTTTTCGGTTCCCAAGAAGTAGGATCTGTTTAGCTGGCGCCAAGAATAGTTTTTGGATTACTACCAATCAGTTCTTGCAATGGACGACTCAAGGTCATAATTTGCAATTAAAAAAATACGCGCAAAGGCCTATACAAAGGACAGAGATGAAGTGCGAGTCTTAAATATTTGAACAAACCATAAAGCGATGGAATT